GCCTTCATCAGCGCAAATTAACAAAAGTAGCTAAATACAAATAGACAAGGACATATCGCAAATTATCGCTCATTAAATCATTCTATTTTAACCGCACGACATCCCATTCCTACAATTCTTTTTCAAACTCTCACTCCATTTTATTTTCTTCTATTTCTCCTAAGCATACCCTCAATATTTTATTATTTGACTTTTGCAACAATATATTCCGGTGGGCCTCAATCAATCACTGACAACCATTTTATAAATTTATCCCGACAGTTTTCTGTTGCTTCGTATTCTTTCCAATCCCAAATTTCTGCTCCGTATATCATAATCATAAAAAAATAGAAATGAAATCTAAGTACATATCTTTGCACTTAAGAGTTTTCCTATTTAAATCTAAGTTTATATCACAATCTTATTAAATTCAAATAATATTTAATATTCAACCCTAATATGTATATCATTTATATTAAAAGATTTGATATTAAAAAAGTGGCGTCAAGTTAATAGAGGTAATCCCATTACCTCGAAAGTTAAATGTACAATTGCTTTTAAAAAATGTAAATCAATCAATGATTTGTATCTTTGTATTGAAATTTTCTTATTCTATAAAATCCAAGTGATAGCTTTAATTCTTGTTCAAAATTGTGATATCATAAAATTGCGTTTAACCTAATTTATTATAATTTAACTCAAATATCTAACACAAGTAATAGTAGCTTTCAATCTATCTCAATATATGTATTAGATGTACAAAAAAGCTCTGAGCTTTTTTTGTAAAATTCAATCTTTATACAAAAACAAACAAAAAAATATTAATCAGCGAAATATTCCCCGTTTGCATCAACGACCTTTTGCCATCTTTCGAATCTTAACTTGCGAATTCCTTAACGATAGAAGCTCACCGGCTTCAAAGCGATAAAGTCATCAATGCATTTTCGCATCTCTTCAAATCTCACGAAATGTGTATCAGCCAAATGATGCTGCAGCGACCGGAATAGGTAGTAATCGGAAGGCGCCATGTCTGGGCTATATGCGACCTATTCCGGTCGCTGCGGGAGAAGTTCCCAGCCTAACGCAAAGATATGGTTCTGAGTCGCTTTCGCAACATGTGGTCGAGCATTGTCATGAAGATCACTTTATAACGTCCTTGGCCAGTAAATGGCCTCTTTTTTTCTAATGCATCGCTCAAATTGGTCAATTGTTGTTGGTAGCGATCTGCCGTGATTGTTTCACCCAAGTTGTAACAACTTGTAATACAACACACCTTTCCAATCCCACTAGATACAGAACAAAACCTTCTGGGCGTAGATTGGGTTTCGGCGTCGATGTCGAAGGTTGATCAGGATCAACCCATGATTTTCTACGTTTAGGATTATCATAAAGAATCCACTTTTCATCGCCTGTAATGATTTTGTGCAGAAAATCTTTTTTCCGGAACTTTGAAAGCAAAGTGAGTGCAGTGTCATGCCGACGATTTTTGTTGTCTTCGGACAATTCATGCGGAACCCATCTGCCTTCTTTCTGAACCTTTCCCATCGTATGTAAACGTACGAAAATGGTTTGCTGCGTAACGCCAAGCTGCAAGCTCCTTTTCAGTTTGCGCAGAGTTTATATCTAGCAGTGCTTGCAATTCGTCCGTTTCAATCTTTTAAATCCAGCACGCGGTTCATCTTTAAGACTGAAATCTTCTTGACGAAATTTTTGATACCATCTTTTACATGTAGTATGACTTACAGCCTTCTCTCCATATGCAGCACAAATCATTGCAGTGGCTTCAGCAGCATTTTTCTTCAGATGAAACGCGAAGTGGATGGGAAATCAAATATGCTCTTTTGTTATTGCCATCGTGAACACTACTGATTTTTGAAGTTATGTGCATCAAACGCCAAACCGTGTGGCATTTTAGAAGGCCAAATGTCTCAACGCTTTAAAACCGTAAAAGGGCGGGAAGATATATAAAATTTAAATTATTTCGATTGTATGAAATCTAAAGCTCAGAACTTTTTTGTACACCTAATATATATAATATTCCGACACATCCTTCTGTAAAGAATTTTTACGTACATGTGTATTTGAATTGAATGGAAAATTTAATTATAAAAAATTAAAGAGGTAATAGTACAAAATGAAACAAATTTAATTTAAATAAAAGAATTTTTATGTTTATTTTTATAAA